CCATCAATCTACTATCTCAAAATACATTATTTCAAAATAATGTGACTCAAATATACTATTAACTTTTTATTAAATTATTCAATCTTCAAGACGAAATAATTGAATTCTCTTAAATTTATGTCAATTATATAAGTAAATATCGTTTTCAACCGACTGATCAAATTGATGATCGTAGTTTAAATTATAAAGCATCTCAAAAACAATTTTTATATGGTAATAAGCCACTCAGCCATACCTCCAAGTTGTTGATCAGAATAGAATTTGATGTGCCCTGTTTGGTTTGAAAGAACAAAATACAAAACCAGGCATTTCTAGAAGTAACAAACAACAATAACAATAAACTTGAGGTCACATAATAATGAAAGATTGACAAACTACAAGATAGAAAATATAAATTATGAGAACGTCATAGCAATCTTAAGATCCAAAATAAACAAAATTGCAGAGAAAATCGAAGTACAATATAGTATTCTTAAGGAAACAAAAGCCACAAGGCAAAATGAAGAAAATTCCAACAGCGGAACACTAATGTAAAAACCACTGAACTTTATAAAAAAGATCAACAAGAAGTTTTTAACTTGGGGGTGGCGCACCAAAACCACCAGATCCACGTCCAAAGCCAGGCCTTCCACCACTACCAGAACCCTGCACATAAAGGAGAGTAACTTCAAAATTTCACATAAGGTACCATATAAATTATAAAAACAATTAACCCAAAGAAATCGTCCATCCAAGACAAGAAACCAAAACCTCAGTCCATACAACGAGTACTGCACAAATAAAAGTTAACTAACGATAGGAGGTTGAACCATTGAGGTTTGATATTGTGATGTGTGAAGACGGAAAACAAGAAATATGTCCAACTTATCTATCATTATGCCATCACTATTTTGGAGCAAATATGCTTGTCTATGAAATACAATGGCATTAAAATAGATATTTCATTGGACATATACAAACTAAAAAGAAGGAACTGCAGAACCATCAAAAGAGAGGATTAATACAATGAGAATTTAACAGAGTATATTTCAAGGACAAAGAAACCATTATATTAATCCCTAGCCGGCTGGCTGTAATTGGTAGATCAGTAGATGCTAACTATGATAATAAATTCTTGAAAAGTACAAAAGTCTTTAACACGGTGCAGCGCAAATGAATTTTACATATAAAGCAAATAGGTATGTGCTAAATATGTTACTTATAAAGTCCTGTGCAAAGTGCTACAAAACACAGTCGCCAAATAAATCATTTTCCAGCACTATATGCAAGAAGCTTAATATGTTTTGAGCCAAAAAGGTTAACATTAAAATTATTGCATTAACTCGTAATTTTCACAGTGGCCAACAAACAGTGCAAACATGAAAGCCTATCCAATAGATGCACAATTACAAAGCTGGAAATAACAGGGTGGGTTCATCTATTCTCTAATAGAATAATATCACGTCAACCAGTATACACTAAAAACAAAGAATAGCAGAACAAATTCATCATTCAAACGGAACGAAGTATTAAAACATCCAAATTACCCTAAAAGCAGGCTGGTAGTCAGCAGGAGCTCCACCCTTTTCACCACCAAATTCGCCCGGAGGGCCTCTTGGCCCGCCTCTGTATCCATCCCTATCTCCGAACCTTGGCCTATCACCGTCAAATCTTGGGGGTCCACTATTGCAACAAAGCCCAAAATACTTATCAGTTATAAATTTCCAGAAGGATAATAAGAAACAGTACACATAATCCTTTTGAAGTGTGTTATGAATATAGGCTATATAGCCCTGAAAACAAGCACATTATCAATTAACAAAACAAAAACTTAAATTTATTTATAAATATTTTACTAGCTCAATAGAATGTCAATAAATGTCCATATTACCATAGTGAATCAGTCACATCCAAACAAACCAATCATATTCCTAAAAAATTCACTAAACGAGGGGCGTAAAATCCAGAATCTGACGAACTCGATAGAATGAAGCAAATAAAAATATTTACCGTGGTCGGTCGCCTGGTGGTCCACCCATCGGACGGCCAAGGGGCTTTGCGGATTTCTTCAGTGTGGCGGGAACAATCTCTGAAGGTAGATTGAGGTAAGAACGGAGGAACTCGATGCCATCGTTGGTCAAATACCAGTAATAGTGCATCCAGGCGAAAGTCTCTCGCACGTACTCCTTTGACTTGAAGCTCTGCATAAGCTTAATCACCTGCAAGTTCGGGACATCAATTTCCGGGTGCTTAGCCAGGTTGTAATCCTTCTTCGCATAGCACACGCCCTCTGTAGGTAAAAATTATACAAATTCACATCAGAAACCAACAAAAACATAAAATTATATTAGTTGAATATTGAAAGGGGAATGTGACCTTGGAAGAGGTATTTGGAGATCTCTCTCCGATTCTTCTCTGGAATAATCTGACATTAAAACACAAAAAAAAATAAAATCGAAAATTAACCTCTATTTGCAGTAATTATCAATTAAACTACAAGAAATGAACATGGATGAAGACATAGAGAGAAAAAATATTACCATGGCTGCAGAAAGATTGGTAAGATAGAGAAAGACCAACCGAGATGATGAAGCAGCTTCAGTGGATGCGAGTAAATGGAAACCCTAAAACAACGAGGGGGTTGGATTCTTATATCATAGGGTTTTGATAGGGATTTGGGCTTTTTTGTTTAATGAAGCCCAGTATACGTTTTTATTGGGTTTGTTAGTTTGGTCCGTTTAGTTGGGCTTTACTAGATTAGGCTTAGTTTGGTTTTCGAGAAATGAGCCCAATGAATCAGGGATTCAAAAGTTGATTATTTTCATCAACCAGAGAGTTCGAGATCACACATTGGAGATGATAAGGAGTGATTCTAAGCAAGGCGTTGGGGGCACTCATTAATCTTGTTCATATGTTTGATTATAAGCACCACTCAAACTCATATGCTCAAGTTATTCAATCTTAAATCCTAAATCATTACAAATCTTAGACTATACCTAAAACTTTTGGCTGGGATCTAAGCCATTGCAGAAATTAGAATTAAAAAATGAGGTGAAATTTCCATATCAATTTTGAATATAGTTATTATTTACCATGCTGGACAATTAGAGTTGTACATTGTACACTTGGACCACTTCAATAAATGTAATACCATTTAAATGGAAACTATGAAAGTTATGAA